TGAGTTGTTCCTCCGTCAGCATTGACTCTGCTTCAACAGGGTGGTCGTTTTTTCGTTGGTTTTCGCGTCGGTGGCGGGTTATGGTTTTCTTTTGGTTTTCTTTCTCTGGGTTGTTTTGAGCTTTGTTTGGTTGTTGGTCTGTTGCTTCTGTCGGGGTTGTGTCTGTGTTTTGTCTTTGTTTCTTCTTGCTTGTTCCTTGGTCCTTGAGGCGTTCCTGCTGCCTTGGTGCTTGGGTGTTCCCTGTTTGTTGGCGCTTCGGTTGCGTGGCGGGTGGGTGTCGGGGTTGGGTGGGGGTGTGAGGGGCCCGTGCTGGTTCCGGTCTGCTTCTGCTGCTCTCTGTTTTTTGTCTGACGGGCTCAGGCCCCACAGCCAGAGAGCCAGGCTGCTGTTCCCTAGCTCTGCCTTCCCTCTGCGTTCCAGTCCACCAGCTTTAAACGTACGGACATGTGGGATTTTCCACCATACTGGTGTGTGGAGTAGAGGCACTTTTGCTGAACTGCGAATGCTTTACTGGGTGTAGGCTGAAGGGGAGCTTCTTATTCCGCCATGTTGCTGACGTCACTCTAATACAACTGATTTTAAATAGGTCCGGATGTTGGATGAGGCAGACAAAGAACTCAAAATGACTTTACAAATACGTTCAAAGAATTAAAGTAATCCTTTAAATTAAAGGGAAAGATATGCTCAATGAATAAATAGAGAATCTCAACCAGAGAAATAGAAACTATACATAATAGAAATTATACAGGTCAAACGTATAATAACTGAAATCTTTAAATAGGCTTAACGACAGTTTGGAGATGGCAGATAAACTTAAATACAGATCAACAGAAATTATCCAACCAAAAAAGAGGGAAATGTTTGAATAAAAATGAACAAAATTTCAGAGACCTACAAGACAATATGAAGTGCCCCAACATACATATAACTGGAATCCCAGATAAAGAAAAGAGCATAAAAATTTTAAGAACTAATCACCAAAATCTTCCCAAATTTGGTAGGACACTTAGATTCAAAAAGCTCAACAAAGCCCCAAAGAGATAAATGAAAATAAAATCACTCCTAGAAAAATCACAGTTAAACTGCAAAAAAGCTAAAGAGAAAGATTTGAAAGCATTCAGAGAAAAATGCCATTTTATGTGTGAAGAACAACAATAAATTAATTGCTGACTTCTCACCAAAGACTATGAAAGCCAGAAGATACTGGAACAATATATTGAAAGTTCTGAAGGAAAAAAAGGTATCACTAACTATTCTATAACCAGATAACAACACTTCAAATATGTAAGTGAAATAAAGACATTTTCAATAAACAAAACCTGAGAGACTTTATTGCCATCAACTCCCTACAAGAAATTTTAAAGGAAGAACTTTGGCCTGAAGGGCAACTGGAACCTATACAAAAAAATTTTAATGGTAAATATCTGGATAAACATTTCTAAATTACATATTTTTTCTTTGCACCTTTAAAAGATATAACTATCTAAATTAAAATGTATAAGTCAGTAGCAACAGGTTTATAACAAACATCTAATATATCAACACAACAATAGCACTATGAAAATATAATAATAGGTACATAAAAATATACTATTGCAAGGTTTCTATATTTTACCTTAAGTAATTCAATATTCACTCTAAGTTAATCTAAGTTTAAGATGCATATGTAATCTCTAGAGCAACAACTTTTAAAAGTACAAAGACATAAAGCTAGAATGCCAAGAAAGAAATGAAAATGAAATAGTAAAAAATATCTGATTAAAACAAAATGATACAGGAAGAGAAGAACAGAGAAAGACAAAAAGAAACAGAAGACAGAAAACAAACTGCAACAGAGAAGATCTAAGTGCAACCATATCAATAATTAAATGGAAATAGACTAATATTCCAATCAAAAGACAGAAATTATTAAAAGTAGATTTAAAATCTAAGACCCAATTTTATGCTGTCAACAAAACACATCCTTTAAATAGAAAGGCATAAATGACTAAAAGTAAAAGGCTAGGAAGAATATATTCTATGCAAACAGTAAGCATAAAAAGATGAAGTGGCTGTATTAATAGCAGAGAAAATAAATTTCATAACAAGAGATATTACTGAATACAAGTGGAGGGCCACTTCATAATGACAAAATGGTCAATACATCAGAGAAATACAGCAATTATAATTTAGATGTGATTAATAACAAAATTCCAAAATACATGAAGTACAAAATACACAAAATACAGACAGAACCAAAAGAAGAAAGAGGTGAATCCCCAATCACAAAGACTTGAACATACTTACCTCAGAACTTCACAATCAGTTAAAAATATTAATAAGAATATTGAATGACAGTATCAATCACCTTAATCTAACTAACTTTCAAAATATGAAACCCAATACCTGCAAAATATACCCACTCTTTCAAGTGCATATGGAGTATCTACCAAGATAAACCACATACAGGACTATAGAACAACTCTCAATAGGTTTCAAAATATTAAAATGTTACAGACTATATTATCTTATTGCAACAGAATTAAAAATCAACAAAAAATAAAACATCTGTAAGTGCTCACAAATATCTGGAAATTAAAAACTTACTTTTAAAGAAACCATAAAAATCATAAAGTAAATTGGAAAATATTTTGAGCTGAATTATAATGAAATTTGGTAAATGATAAATCAGGTTGCACTAAAATTTAAAACTTCTGTGCTCTGAAAAAATTATTATGCCAAAATGAAGATGTTTTCAAAATATATCTGATTAAGAACAGAGAGCTATAACATAAAGAATACTCAATGCTCAGTAATATTAATAAGAAAACAAACAACCCAATTAAAAAAATAGGCAAAAGTATCTGAACAGACACTTCACCAAAGAAGATATATGACCATCAGAAAAGCACATGAAAACATGATAATACCATTAGGAAAATGCAATTTAAAATCAAAATTAGACATCAGATACCAAATTGCAGAATGACTAAAATTAAAAATACAACACCAAGGACAAGCAAGCATGTGAAGTGACTGGAACTCTCAAACACTGATGATAGCAAAGTCTGTATAACTATTCCACAGAAATGCTTTCATTCTGGCTCTCCAAAAAACAAACTAATCCAGAAATAAGCAGTAAAAAAAAAAATGTTTTTAATTGTCAGAAAAATACTTTTTATTTACTTAATTTTCTATTCATTTGATACTTTTTAAACTAACTCAATTTCTGGGTGACTAACAGTCAATTGCCACTTAAAAAAATCATTAACTTAAAAAAAAAAAAAAACAGTTCATGGGTGAAAACAACGAGACCCAGTAAGCAGCTTCAGAGAAAGTGAATGTGAAACTGTTAGTCACTCAGTCGTGTCTGACTCTTTGCAACACCATGGACTGTAGCCCACCAGGCTCCTCTGTCCATGGAATTCTCCAGGCAAGAATACTGGAGTGGGTTGCCATTTCCTCCTCCAGGGGATCTTCCCAACCAAGGAATGGAACCCAGGTCTCCCGCATTGCAGCCAGATTCTTTATCGTCTGAGCCACCAAGGAATCCCAAGCAGAGAACTTTCCATCATATTTGTAGATTCATGAGAAACGAAGAGGAGGCAGGAATCCAGGCACCAAGTCTGATCTGCCTCAATTCAACAGCTTACTATCCTCCTTCCGCGCCACAGTCCTGGGTCTGCTTGAGATGAATGAGACATCACACCCAGCCTCTGCTTGATTCTCTTGAAACAAAGTCTGGGATATCACGGAGACTAGCAGCAACGGGAGCACTAGGCAAGACCAAGGTCGAGCTGTTTCTGCCCCTAAACTGTGGCTCACACATCAAGTTCGGATCTGTTAACTGTTTTCGTTACTATTAGTAGGACCTTTATAGCACAAAGGATTTTGCCACAAACTGAAGACAAGCCATGTGGTAGAAGATGACAACAAATGAGTCTCCCGAGAAAGAGAAATTACCAAAATACTTCCTCTTTGAGTATTCTCCAGATCCCTTGGTCTATCTAAATGAATGACTAAAGAACACAGCCACCCCAAGGAGTGAAACAGTACATCAAAATCGAAGGACAGACGGCTCTCAGTAACCCAAGGAGCTGACAGACACGGTACCTCAGCCTCTATGACTGACTTTGACAAATAATGACCTACACGACTTGTTTGCGTGAGACACAAGTTGTCTCACACCACACCGAGGGAAGGGAAAAGAAGTGAGAAATGCAGATCTCCTTCATCCTGGACATGTGGAACAGATACACATGTGAACACAGTTCAAAACCACAATAGTAGCCTTTGTATTCCCAGGGAAGAACTCTTAGCTAAGACAACAGCATATCTGTGGTGACGTACTCGAAAATTTTATTTTTGCTAAAATCCAGAACTTTGTAAGAATTAAATGATAGGGCTTGACCAACTGGGTCAGAGATGTTGACAGAACTTTCAAAGAAACTATTAAAGAAAGCTGTGTTAAAGAAGAGCGTGATCCCTTAGACAAAACAGCACAAGTTCCACACACCCTGCTCCTCACCACCCCTAAAAATAAGTCCCAGGACTTTACCCTAACCTCGCTATTGTGGCCGACCTCCCTCTTTTCTGAGGTAATGTCTATAAATCTTGGCATCCAGTGTGCCTTTAAACCACATGTCAGCTATTAGCAATGGTGTTTTTCCCGACAGCAAACTGGTAACATTAAAGAAAAGAAACGAATAGCATTGTGCTTGCAAAGTCATTTTACAACCATTAACGGCAACAACCATTTTACGGGGGACGTGGCACTACCTGGGAGCCCAAGGGCCATAATAGATCTTCATCCTCTTTGCCAGTAAAACGAGAAATGTGGTGAAAATGAAATCCATACCTTGGGCTTATTTTCGTGACAGCTGAATTAGTGATACTTCTTGTGCCAGAAGATTCTCTCCAAGGAATGTCTGTGCTCAGGGCATCCTCCGAGCAGGCAGGCCCCCAGAGCCTCCCTGCAAGCCTAAAGCGGTGGTGGCCCCACACGACCACACAGCCCTCACCTTTCCTTTTGGTTGTGTAAAATCCAACAGCTGCTCCATCTCGCCACAGAATCTTAGCCTCCTCCTTCACGGAGTGAGGTAAAAAAAACATGTCATCATCATCCAAATTCCTTTCTAGTCTTCCAAAAATAACGACGTTCAGAATGAAAAGCACAATCCTTTCCCCAAATGACTGAACCTTTGAAGGAAAAACAAAAAGAACATCTAAGTAAGACAAGAAGGGAAAGTCAGACACAATAAACTCTAGGCTTGGAACCAACCCGCACGCCGGGGGCCAGGTGTGGGCGCCCCCGCCCCGCGGTTCTTCTCCTGCTTGAGATCCAAACTGAGGGTCACAGTTTCTCACAGAGGTTTTCTCAGCCCTGGCCTTTCACACCTACCCTGGCCTCCAGGGGCAGGGGGCAGGGCCAGAAAGGCCCCCTTGGTCTCCAGAGCCTCAGACGTGGAGCGTGAAGAGACAGAGATCAGTCAGTCACATATCAGTGAAACAGAAGGTGACTTCCAGGCAAGCCATTTCAGCAGAAACACTGGATGTATCCAGAGAGGAAACCCAGTCTGCCATCTTTAACGACAGCTCCAAAATTCTGACCTTCGGAAGGAAGGTAAATAACAGAGGGTCCTTATTGGTGTACAGTTGCGACACCAAGATCAACTGGTTTTCAATGACTTGTGACAGATTTTGAGCACATGCTAGTGTCTCAACCCCACAGTTACTGGAACTCAAGGCCCAGCCCATCCTAAGGCTACATATGGAACCATCTCTCACCTATTGCAATGTCACAACAATTGAGGAAACTGTACTGTGGTCAAGGTCAAGCCCACAAAAGGGCTTTATCATTAACAAGTCAAAATGACTTCCTGTTCCTGCCTGTCGGCATTCTCTGCATTCAAATAGCCCAGGGCTGGCACAGTTCAGTTGCTAGTCGTGTCCACTCTTTGCACCCCCATGGACTGCAGCATGCCAGGCTTCCTTGTCCATCACCAACTCCAAGAGGTTGCGCAAACTCATGTCCGTTGAGTCAGTGATACTATCCAACCATCTCATCCTCTGTTGTCCCCTTCTCCTCCCTCCTTCAATCTTTCCCAGCATCAGGGTCTTTCCTAATGAGTCAGTTCTTCGCATCAGATGGCCAAAGTATTGGAGCTTCAGCTTCAGCATCAGTCCTTCTAATGAATATTCAGGGTTGATTTCCTTTAGGATTGACTGGTTTGATCTCCTTGCAGTCCAAGGGAATCTCAAGAGTCTTCTCCTACTCCTCAGCTCAAAAGCATCAATTCTTTGGCACTCAGCCTTCTTTATGTTCCAACTCTTATATCCATACATGACTACTGGAAAAACCATAGCTTTGACTATATGGACCTTCATTGGCAAAGTAATGTCTCTGCTTTTTAATATGCTGTCTAGGTTAGGTTTTCTTCCAAAGAGCAAGCGTCTTAATTTCACAGCTGGCACAGGTGGTACAAATGAAGGCCTCCTGCACCCACAGTAGACGTAACTAATTAATCCCCATTCTATGTGACTGAGCCCAGATACAGTCTAAATTCAGTCCTCTGGACAACTACAAGAAACCATTAAAATGTGGCACTTGAGGTAAAATCAAACAGCCAGTGACACAATGAGTATTATTAGATTTTACTCCAACAACATTCCCGTATGACAGCCCAAGGGTCTGGATTTTTATCACCCCTTCGTATGCACCACGATGAAATCACCAAGAGTATTATTAATGCCTGGGCTGAGACTGCCACCCACACGCTACCAGTTGATTCTTCCCAGCCACGAGGGAAATCCTGGTTTACAGGTGAGGAGACTGGAGCTCAAAGAAGGTAAGCAGTTCCATTTGTTGATTTCACTGCCTCATTCACAAGAGTTAAGACAAGACAGTGGATGAGGGCTCTGCCAGGCCAGATCTGAAACCCCAGACCGGGACATCTGCATCCCAGTGGACCTGCTGCAGCCCAGAAGGCTGCTCCCCTATGCATTTTCATCCATTAGGGCTCTAGGAGAGGGAGCTGCTGCAGCGTGCATGCTCAGCGGCAGCCCCCTGGACTGTAGCCCACCAGGCTCCTCTGTCCATGGGATTTCCCAGGCAGGAATACTAGAGTGGGTTGCCATCCCTCCTTCAGGGGATCTTCCTGACCCAGGGATTGAACCCACTTCTCCTGCACTGCAGGCATTTTCTTTTCCACTGTGCCACATAGGAAGTCCGTAAGTTTGACATAAATATGATGCTTGGTTTTATATTTAATGTGTGCTATGCTCAGTTGCTTCAGTCATGTCCAACGCTTTGTGACGCCATGGATTGTGGCCCACCAGGCTCTGTCCAGGTGATTCTCCAGGCAAGAATACTGGAGTGGTTTTCCATTTCCTTCTCCAGAGGATCTTTCTCACTCAGGGATCGAACCTGGGTCTCCTGGATTGCAGACAGATTCTTTTACTGCTGAGCCACCAGGGAAGCCCTTTATATTTAATACTTGACCCTTAGATATTTATCATCATCATCATCACTTGTGGTTGTGGCTTCTCAACTTGGATTTGCTGGGAGAGCTTCAGCAACTCACTAGTCGAGGGAGAAGACTGCCTCAGTGCTCTCTCAAACACTTGTATGCTTTTCAGATGCTTCAATAATAAAAATAAATCAGCTTTCAGCCCTCTAACAAATGGCACAAAGTGCTTAGTGCCAATAAACTTATTAATTGGCCCAGAACGCAAACTATTTCACCTTCATCTGGAGCCAAATCTTAGATGAGAAAAAGATTTGCAAAAGCCACACCAGCTTAACTCTGAGAAGCCACCCCAATTTTGTATTTCAGACAGTAGCAGCCAAATCAAGTTCTGACTTTAAGAATAACTAGTTCATCACGAAACTCGATGGGTGTGATGTGGGAGGTTATATTTTTCAACTTATAAAACCAAAAAGTTCAGAGGAAAGCCAGAAGAGAAAAACAGATTGCATCTGGAGAAGGGAAATAACCAATCAAAACCTGGCAGGAGAAGAAAGGAAAAAAGAAATGCACTTAATTTGTCCAATTTCATTATGGGGGGGGGAAATGTGTGACATGTGATTCTGACTTAGAGACATTGCTGAAAGCAAAAAACTAAGATCCGGTTCTAATCCCTCAATTAGGACCACTAATGATGTTCACAGAAATAACACTAAGGAAGCTGGGTTTCAGTTTGGTTTGGTTTGGTAATTTGTGAAGAAGAGCTGGCTAAGAAATAGAATGCAATTAAAAGGAAAGAAGTCAAGACCCCATGTTCTATAAATTGGAGGAAAACTATCCCCACACACAGCTGGGGCAGACAGATCTTTACAACCTGGTTCATTAAGTGGAATTAACACTCAAGTTTCTGTTCACAGCATTAGCCACATTTTCAGAAAATGTGAGGGCTTTTCCTCATCTAAATTTAGAATTGATACACAAAGGAAGTTACCACTCTTATTCTGGAAAAAAAAAAAATATATATATATATATATTTAAAGAGCAAACCAGACTCTTCCTGGAATTTAGAACACCCAGTTGCTCATGCCACCTGCTTCAGTATGGACAGTGACACAGACCGCTACGTCAGGCAGCCTCACTGAGTACATCATGCTTATTTGCTGAACCTCCAGCCATCATTAATTTACTGGAAGAAAGCCCTTTTCAAAATAATATCTATCACATCAATTAAAACCAGACCTGAAAAGTTCCTGCCTTTTGTGACAATATGGATGGAACTAGAGGGCATGATGCTGAGTGAAATAAGGGGAAAGAGAAACACTGCATGACCTCACCTATAGTGTAACATTAAAGGGTCAAACTCGTGGCCACGGAGACTTAGGGTGGCTGCCAGGGTCTAGGCGTGGGGAAAAGGGAAAGATGATCGGCAGGTTCAAACTTCCAGTAATAAGATGGACACGTTCTGGGGGTCTGATACACAGCACAGTGATTGTAGCTAATGATACCTGTATGATATACTTGAAAGTTGCTAAGAGCATGCGTCACCATGCAAAAAGAAATGGCAGTTATGTGATGTGGTGCAGGTTTAACTGACACTGTGGTGGTAATCATTTTGCAGTGTATCAGTGTATCAAAGCAAGACTGACCACCTTAAACTTGTTCTTTCGTCGCTAAGTCGTATCTGACTCTTTTGCGACCCCGTAGACTGTACGCTGCTAGGTTCCTCTGTCCATGTGATTTCCCAGGCCAGAATACTGGAGTGGGCTGCCATTTCCTCCTCCAGGGCATCTTCCCAACCCAAGCACTAAGCCCACGTCTTGGCAGGCAATTCTCTACCACTGAGCCCTCCTTAAACTTACACAGTGTTATATGTCAACTGCATGCATGTGTGCTGAGTCACTTCAGTCACGTCTGACTCTTTGTGACCGTGTGGACCACAGCCTGTCAGGCTCCTCTGTCCACAGGATTCTCCAGGCAAGAATACTGGAGTGAGTTGCCATGCCCGTCTCCAGGGGATCCTCCCAGCCCAGGGATTGAACCTGTGTCTCTTATGTCTCCTGTATTGGCAGGCAGTTTTTTTACCACTTGTGCCACGTTATACCTCAACAAAGCTGGTGGGAGTGACAACCTTGAAATATACTTGAAAAAGATAACCCATAGAAAAGGGAGAAATATTTGCTAATAGTATATGCAATAAGAGCTTGCATCTAGAATATGGAAAAACTCCTACAACTCAACAGTAAAAAGTCAATCCACTTAAAAAGTGGGCCAAGGATATTAATAGCTACTTTCCCCAAAATGGACAATAAGTACATGAACATCCTTAGCCACAGGGAATCTTTACCCTCGCCATCCTCGGTCTCTATAAAGTCATAGCACCTCAAAGCCCACCAGTCCTGCCATCAGAGAGGCTAGAATTTGTGTCCAGTTAAATCACTCACTAGCTATGTGGCTCAGCTTCAATTTCTTTGTCTACAAAGCAAATACCTTAAAGATTCTGAAGTCAGATAGTCCCTGTCAAAAGTCTGGGTAATACATAGGCTAGCATCTAGCACAATGTCTAATTCATAGTAAGTACCAATAAATCTACTGGAATGTAATAACACTTCCCTACACACTAGAGTGATGATATGGATTAATGTTTCAGAATTAAGACAGGAGAGACCACTCAGGAAGGCAAGAGAGATTTACCAATAGCCAGACACCTGTTGCATATAGCCATTAACACTATTTTTCTTGAAGGTGGGGTGTTATGGATGGAACGGTGCCCACCAAAAAGATATTAAAGTCCTAACTCCCAGGGCTGTGAATGTGATTTATTTGGAAAGAGGTGACCTCACATCAAGGTGAGGTCATTAGGGTGGCCCCAATCCAACATGACAGGTGTCCATATAGAAAAGGGGAATTTAGACAGAGCCAGACAGGGACAGAGGGATGAGGATGGGAAGATACAGGGGGAGCACCACTGATAAGCCAAGGAAAGCTGAAGTGAGGAGACAGGCCTGGAACAGATTCTCCCTCACCAGCCTTGGAAGAAACCGCCCCTGCCAACACCTTGCTTTTGGATTTCCAGCCTCTGTGACTGGGAAATAGCACATTTCTGTTGTTTAAACCAGCCAGTCTGCTGGCACTTTGTTAGAGCAGTCCTGTAAAGTGAATCCACAGGGGTAGACTAACTTAGTAACATGATACTAAGTACACCAACCTTTACAACCCCTTTCACACTATCCACTTAAATTTGCAATGCCTCACCTTCATCAGACCTTCTCTTGAAGGATCAGAGGTTCTTAGTACATCTTCAGTGGTCCACCAGGACTCCTTCACATAAACAGCCACAACTGAAAGAGAAAGCCAAGAGAAAATGATGAAGTGCACGTGGCCAGCAAAGGGGCAGTTTTATCAGCTTGCAGCCACTGTCAAGAAGCACAGGAAAGTTTACGTGTGAGGAAAGAGATGATGTTTCTCAGATGAGCTGTCTGAGAGCGCTGACCAGGACAGAGCGACCACTCTCACCTGAAAGGACTTCACAGGTGTCTGCAGAGATGGCCTGTTAACGACCCCAACACAGGATGTACCCCAGTGCTGTTGGATGCAAGAGGCTACACAGTAGTACTGACAAATTCAATGGGTGAGAATTACATTTTTTTTTTTAAAGTCCAACTATATGACCCAACTTGGAACTCTGCAAATTTAGGCAAACCCAACATTATCTAAGGGCATGGAATGACCCCTTCATTATCCAGGGTGCTGGATTTGGCATTGGTTTCTTTTACATGCTTTTCTTTCATTCTCACGATGAAATTGACATCTGCATTCTTCTGAGGACACAGACATTCTGAGCAGGAAAGGCAGTCAGCAAGGAGGGCTGAGGTCAGGCCCATCCCTCAGACCCGGGACTCCAAGCTTAATGCTCTTTCCAAGAGGCTTGAGATGGGTCAATTGTAGATGGGGCAAATTGTGCAGGGTTGGTGGGGGTCTTTGTGTAAGAGAACTCTGTGGCTAGGACCTACAGGAGACGGAGGATAGAGACATCTCTCCTACCCCACTCCTACCGCTACGCTCTGAGACAGTCACTGAGACCTGTTGATTCCACCCACTCTGAGTTTGGACATGGGGGCCTCCCTGGCGGCTCAGACAATAAAGAATCCACCTGCAAGGCAGGAGACCTGAGTTTGACCCCTGGGTCAGGAAGTTCCCCCGGAGAAGGGAATGGTTACCCACTCCAGTATTCTTGCCTGGAGAATACCATTGACAGAGAAGCGTGGCAGGCTACAGTCCATGGGTTTGTAAAGAGTCAGACATGACTGAGCGACCAACACCTGCTGCTTAGTAGAGATGATCCTGGAACACCCTCAATCTCACCAGGCCCCAGATGTCTCATCGGAACTACCCAGGCTGATGAGCCAAGGTGGCTGACAAGTTCGGATGAGGATCAGATGTGAAACACCCAGCACAGGGCTAGGCAGGTAGGAGCACTCAGCATCTGCTAATTAACACGCTAGTTCCTCCTTGCTCCTGCTGCAGCCGCCGGGTCCCATCATTCCACCTGCTGCCTCCCGACAGGATCCACCCCCTCCAGAGCCCCGGATGCCCGCTGGTCTGTCCCCACCTGGTCCCCTGTCCCAGTTTCCCCTGCCAATCTTTCCATCCTGAGGGGCTGCTCCAAAGGCAAATCCAGTCACGGCCTCCACCTCTTATCTCCCAACAGGGCAGCTCTCCTTTCCTGGCTTTAAAAAATTCCCTTTTTAAACCCTTAAGTTCCCCTTGGTTGTTTTTTGCTTTTTTTTTTAAGATTGTTTTTAAAAGAAGTTTTAGGGCTTCCCTGGTGGTTCAGTGGAAAGAGTCTGCCCGCCAATGCAGGAGACATGGGGTTTGCTCCCTGATCCAGAAAGACCCCAAATGTTGCGGAGCAACTAAGCCCCTGCCCCACAGCTGGTGAGCCTGTGCTCTGGAGCCCAGAAGCCACAGCCACTGAGCCCATGTGCTGTAGCTACTGAAGCCTGCACGCCCAGGAGCCCACGATCTGCAACAGGAGGAACCACCGCAATGGGAAGCCTGCGCACCACAACGCGAGCAGCCCCCACTCTCCGCAACTAGAGAAAAGGCCATGCAGCAACAAAGACCCGGCACGGCCAAAAATAAACACACACAATTATTTTAAAAAGCAAGTTAAGTGCTTTGAAAAGAGAGACAAGTTTTAGGTTCATGGCAAAATTGAGAGGAGCGAACAGAGATTTCTTATATTCCCCCTCCCCCCGACACACAACCCTTGTTATCATCATCCCCCACCAGCGTGGGACATTTGTTACAACCGATGGACCTAAACTGACACTTCATGATCACCCAACCTTTCCATCAGGGTTCACTCTTGTACATTCTGTGGGTTTGGACAAATGTATCATCACACATACCTATCACTACGATATCACACAGAGTATTTTTGTTGCCCTGAAAGTTCTCTGTGCTCTGCCTGCTCATCCCTTCTTACTACCTTCTACCCCTGGCAACCACTGATCTTTTTTCTGTCTCCATAGTTTTGCCTTTTCCAGAAGGTCATAGAGTTGGAGTCATACAGTATATAGCATTTTCAGGTTAGTTTCTTCCTGATGCAAAGAACTGACTCATTGGAAAAGACCCTGATGCTGGGAAAGACTGAAGGTGGGAGGAGAAGATGACAACAGAGGATGAAATGGTTGGATCGCATCACTGACTCAATGGACATGAGTTTGAGGAAGCTCCCGGAGTTGGTGATGGACAGGGAAGCCTTATCCCTGGGTCAGGAAGATCCCCTGGAGGAGGGCACAGCATCCCACTCCAGTATTCTCACCTGAAGAATTCCATGGACAAGAGCAGCCTGGGGGGCTACAGTCTAAGGGGTCACAAAGAGTCAGACACGACTGGGTGCATGTGTCTTTTCATAAAGACATAGATATTTCACAGCTCGAAATTATTTTCAGCACTGTATTCAGTGCTAAAATATTCCATTGTCTGAATGTACCATAGTTTAGTCCTCCTCCACTATCTTTTTATACTACTTTTATTGCCATTTTTATACCTGCTTCTCAAGACAGGTATCTGAGCCCCCAGGGGTCCAGGAGCCACAAGATAAAAAAAAAAAATACATCTTCCCAGTCAAATCTTTTTAGTTGGAAAATTGAAGGAAAACAACCCAGAGCAGAAAACAAAAGTCCCTTGAACATTTAACGTCAGGCTCAAGACTTTAAGATAAATTTTGTGAGGCAATTGAGTTAAGCTGCCACCACCTTCCTCCCTGTTCCTCTCTGCTCTTGGAGGAACTTAAGACCAAGTGATGACATTAGCTATTACTGAGCACTAACTCTGCACAGCCAGCTCCTTCTTTCCAAAACCCAATAGCATCTAATTCACTGTCAGTTTCATACCAGTGGTGAATTTTGTCTTCTCCAACAATAGTTCCAAAATTGATAGAGCTGACTGAGAGAGAGAAGAGCCAATTAAATCCTTGACATCTGCCTTCATTTATTCAACTAAATTCGTGCTCCAAATGGCACCTACTAGAACTTGCAGGAGGCTTATAAAACCATAAGGGTTATTTTCCTGCTTAACAAGGTGAATCAATAAAAGATGTTCCATTTACTAATATGGCGTATTATTTGTAATACAGATGTTCAATTTACTGAGACAGTTTCAAACAGGAAATGTGTTACGACTTGGTGTTTGTGCGGTGCCTTGCAAAGTTTCCCGGGGCACTGCAGAGCATTAATTAGCCACACAAGTTGTCACAGAATAGATTGAATTTTTTTTCAAAACTAATCTTAAACTGTTAGGTATACATAACAATGAAGGTGAAGTCTGATCAAATTTAATAGGCTTAAAATGAATTGTCTCAAAAACGACTCTTGAAAAAAAATCAGCCTTCCAAAGAACAGCAGCTTTTGATCAGAAAAGCCTGCTACCTAGTCAAGAGGAGACAGGCAGGAGGAACAGGGCAGAGCCCTTGGAGAGAGGCTGTTTCCAGCTCAGCAGGACAAAAGGTGGGCCCTCGGGGGACTGCAGCCCTGCAGAGCAGCCTCAGGGCATCACTCCCGAGACACTGGGGCCAGCAGTTTCCGAGAGGCACAAAGTAGACACCGCACATCTGTAGTTTTAAAAGACAAACAGAATCCTGATCAGTAGCCTCTGGCTCTCCACCACGCAGGACCTGGGAGACAGGACCCCTGCAAAAGACTGAGCCGTGCTGACAGCAGTTGGCAGGGCACTGTGGGTGACAGGCCAGCCTCACTGCTCTGATTTAATGCCCGTCTCCCGTGAGTGACAGGTGACCACAAAGAAGATGCCAGTAATGGACTGTACTCTGTGACACCCCAAGGTTTCCCAAACAAGTTAAGACAATGAGGCTGACTCCCAGTGGTGTGGCTTCATCAAGGCTCAGCAGGATGAACTGAATTCAACTAGCTGGGGCTGAGTTTCCAGATGCACAAATGGCCCAGCTCCCCAGAGGCCGCTGAGTAAGTCTGCATCCTTGCCCCTGGGAGTCGGTAGCCTGCAGAGAAGAGAGAGCTAAGCAAGCTGCTGCTATATGGGGCAGGATGTGACAGACGCTGGAATCGAGCTGGGAGCCAGAGTCCAGAGGACCCAGAGGAGGGGTCAGTTCTGCTGAGGGGCTGGGAAATTAGAAGACGCTTGCTCCTTAGAAGGAAAGCTATGATCAACCTAGACAGCATATTAAAAAGCAGAGACATTACTTTGCCAACAAAGGTCCATCTAGTCAAAGCTATGGTTTTTCCAGTAGTCACGTATGGATCTGAGAGTTGGACTATAAAGAAAGCTGAGGGCCAAAAAAGAATTGATGCTTTTGAACTGTGGTGTTAGAGAAGACTCTGAGAGTCCCTTGGACTGCAAGGAGATCCAACCAGTCCATCCTAAAGGAAATCAGTCCTGAATATTCATCAGAAGGACTGATGCTGAAACTGAAGCTCCAATATTTTGGCCACCTGATGCGAAGAGCTGACTCACTAGAAAAGACCCTGATGCTGGGAAAGATTGAAGGTGGGAGGAGAAGGGGATGAGAGAGGATGAGATGGTTGGATGGCATCACTGACTCGATGGACATGAGTTTGAGTAAACTCCGGGACTTGGTGATGGACAAGAAGGCCTGGCATGGGGCCATGGGGTTGCAAAGAGTCGGACACAACTGAGCGGCTGAACTGAACTGAACTGGGAAAGCGTCCACAGGAAGTTGGCCAGATCAGGTTCTGGATCACCAGGTAAGGCGTCAGAACAGGCAGAGGCAACAGGCAAGGGCAGGGTAACCCTCGAGCAGAGGCACAGAGCCGTGCAGATCCAAGGCCACACTCAG